TTTTTCCTTTTTTTTTTTCCACTCAAGAAAGCATTGTCTAACAATTTTGTACCACACCATTGAAACACTGACACTATGTTGGCTTGGTGACCCCGGAATGGGGAGGGGGGACTCCGGAAAAAAAGTACCGGGGATGCTCGCCGTATCTCTTAGGGGTAAAAATTCAGGATCTGGTATCTTTTAGGGTGTTAAATGCGAATTTTTGAAAATCAGCATTTTCTGGTACATCTCTTAGGGTGTCGGAAAAGGAGAGAAGCGTGCATTGATATGGCTTATCCTAGGCCCTTTTTATATCAAATTTAATATTATTTGTTGTGTTATCTCTTAGGGGTTAAAAATCATTCAGCCACGCCCTTTTTTAAAGACTCCTGGTACCTTTTAGGAATCTTTTTGAAAATTTCCGACAAGCATCCCCGGTACTTTTTTCCTGGTGTCCCCCCCCCCGGGTTGGTGACATACACCTCTCAAAATTATCTTAGATGCGAGGCTAACATGAAAATACGAGAACAATCAACTTATTCAAGACAGAATTTGTTCAAACCCTGCATTTAAAACAATTTTGAGTCAATATTTCAGTGTCAAGTTCTCTGTTGCTCAAGGTTAGCCTTGATTTTGTGCAAAATATTCAYATGTTTCAGTGAAGGACTGTGGAATTTGTGTTTGTATTGTTTTGAAATTGTGCATTCTTTAGTGTACCATTGGTACAGATTTGTGAATATTTTGACACTGATTCAAGGCTAACCTTGAGTAAACGAGTCTGCAATCAAGGAACTCAGTGGTAATCAACAAAATCGTAGGTTTTACATATATCCTTTGAAGCTACTAACTAACAAACCAACTAACACGTTTTAGTAACTAGAAGATATAACTAGCTAAAAACTAGTGTTAGCTGCGTTGGTGTTTCTAATGAAACAGTAATGATGAAAAGGTAAATTATACACCGTGAAAGGATGAAAAAACTGACGTTTCGGACGCTAGTCCTTCGTCGGAGTAAAAGAGAAAGAGGTGGTAGAAAGGAGTGTATATATGATAGAATAAGACAAAAGAAACCAATGAGAGCAAGGTAGGCAAGGAGAAGAACAAACAATCAAAAGACAAAAGAAAAGGTTAGTTGAAAGTAAAGCGTTCATTAATCCCGTTGGGACTAAGATTGCCCAATAGGTGAATAAGCCACATTTCTTTGGTCTTGCGACAATCATTGTTGCCGTTAATCAAAGAAAGACTGAAAACAATGAAGTCAGAAAGAGAATGGTTAGCTAGATTAAGATGGCGGGAAACTGGTTTCAAGCCAGTTAGCGTCCGAAACGTCAGTAAGTTTTTTCATCCTTTCACGGTGTATAATTTATCTTTTCATCATTACCGTTTTAGTAACTATTAACTAACCAATTAACACCAAACTAACTAACTCACTCACTCACTAGCTAACTAACTCACTCACTCACTAACTCACTAACTCACTCACTA